AACTGGCCAGCTACAACATCAATATTACAGCGCATAACGAGACCCGCCTCGCTCAGCATGGTAGCTTGAATGAAGCTGGTGCCCGTTCTACGTTCTACTGGGTGGGGAACGCCGCCTCAGCAACACGTGAACATGGGGTCGGATTTGCAATATCCGATCGCCTCTATGGCCAGCTGGTGGGTGATCCTACTGACATCAGCGCGCGACTGATGACTGCTCGCCTACGTCTGAACATGTGCTATTGTGGTGACACACCTGGTCAGTTCTACACTCAGTTATCCTTCGTGATAGGTCTATGCCGACCAGCGATCGACTATTTCTGCTGGGCGATTTCAACGGACGCGTTGGGCGTGACCCATCGGTGTGGACAGATGTTATTTCTCCCCATGACATTGGTTCAGAGATTGGGAACGGTGACTGGTTGCTCTCACTGTGTGTCACTCACGGTCTGCCGATCACGAATAGTCGGTTTGCACTGAGTGCGAGTGATATAGCAATGTGGACGCACCCACGGAGTGGTCACGCTCACCTGCTCGACTATATCATCGTACGTCAGCGTGACATGCTTGAAGTGTACATGATTCGTGTACTGCGTGGAGCTGAGTGTGGCACTGAACATAAATTGCTGCGTACCAAATGGTACATCTACATGCGGAAAAGTGCGTACTGTCTGCTTGCCTCTAACCAGAGGCATGAATTTCACCTTTTCTCCCTTGCTACTGTGGAAAATTGTATTAAGTTGGAGAAGCGGATGGCTGCACTCCTATGTGAGGTGGGATGCATAACCACAATGGGCGACCTGTGGCACCACATTTACAAGCAGGTGACAGCTGCTGCCAAGGAGATCATCGGACGTGTAAACTGTAAGCCCCTCGACTTATTTGATGCAAACAATGCGACGGTTGGAGCGTTGGTGTCTGAGGAGAATGCAGCATTTGCTGCACATATGGAGGACCCTAGTGACTTGGGGAAGAAAAGTGAGTTCCGCAAAATTCGACTGTGCCTGAATTGAGAGCTCCGTCGCATTAAAAATGCATCGTGGACGGAGAAGGCGAAGCAGATGCTACGGGCACGTCGCCAACACAAGGAATCCTTTGACTCCTTGAAAGCGGTGTATGGACCCACGTTGCAGCCGCTATGAACACTACTCGGTTTTACTTCAGGCATTTCCTGCACTTTGTGCAGATCATGGCGAAAGCAGTTTGACTGTCTATTGCAAAACTGTCTAGACGTTGACTATAATTTGTTGCACGGGCTGCAACAATAAGAGGTGAAGATTCGTCTCACTGACACACCGACCCTGTCAAAGACGCAGAAAGCACGTGCTCGGCTGAGAAACGGCAAGTGCACCAGAGTCGTCAGGATACCACCCGAAGTGTTGAATGTCAGCATGCCCACATTGATACATAGGCTGGGGTACTTAGAGCAACGTGCGTGGCTTAAATAATTGCCAGCTTACTTGAATGATGCGCTTGTGCTACCACTGTACAAGGGCGAAGAAAGATAACAATGTGGCACAAATTATCGTGGCGTCAAGTTGCTGAGTTGTGTGAGCAAGGTCATTGCCCGAATCCCGCTCAACCGCCCCGTCAATCAGGTAGCGGAACCGAATGTGGCGGAAGAGCACTGTGGATTTCGTTCGGTCGCAGCATCATAGATCTGGTGTTTGTAGCTCGTCAGTTGCGTAAGAAGTACAACAAGTGACATCAGCCGTTGTACTCACTGTTTTTTGATTTCACCGGAGCATTTGATACGGTGAACCGAAATGCATTGTGGCTGATGTTAGGCAAGTTTGGTTGTCCACGCAAGTTTGTAAATTTGATTGAATGTCTGCACAGTGTTATGCGGGCGTGGGTGCAGCTGATTAAACAAAGTTCGGATGACTTTGCAGTTGTTACTGGTGTTAAGCATTGCGATGTCTTAGCAATTGACCTGTTTAATACTTAATTTCTTGTAATGATGCCTTGTGCTTTTGATTCTGCTTGTGATTACGGAGTCCATGTAGACTACCTGATAGCTGCTGGTTTACTGGACATCCGTCATTTCGGTGTGAGAACCCTGGCTGGCTTGCCGAACAACCTCCTCTTGGTGCCAGCTGGGTGGTTCGGGATTTTCCCGTTCCAGCAAATGGTTCGGCAGCAGTGTTCCAGGACGGGTGGGTTTTCGCGTGGCAAGCGTTCGCCCTATAAAATGCCACATATATCCGTTTAACGACACTGTGAAATGGTGGACGTGACTCGCCACTAAATAAAGTCACTGCCCCTTGCTTCATCCTGGCGAAGCATTACATTCCAGAAAGTTTCTGCTGTTATTCTGGGGAGCATTGGGCTCCTGTTTGACAAAGGAACAAACAAAAAGCGTATGAACTGAGAAAGCAGTCACCGGCTCCCAATGGGCGCGATTCTCTGGATTCGCTCCGCTGCCTTGCGGGAGGGCTATTCAGCCGAATGCTCGGGGTGGTGTCGCCTAAGTCAACACCCTACGGCTTGGGCAACCGGGTAGTATCTCGGCCTCTGACGAAACCATGGACTTTGATGTGTTGTGTTGTGTTTTCTTTTACTATTATTGTACCTTCTTTTGAGTCCTATGATTTCTGATAGCTATATGTCTATTCGTAGACTTTGCATATATATATATATATATATATATATATATGAGTGCCCCATGCTGAGGGTGATGTTGCATTCATGATGCTTCTTCAACGCAGTTTGGCTAAACCAACTTACACTTAAACTTGGTCTTTTTAAGCTGAATAAATTTTATTCTACGTTTATTGGTTTGTTCTGTCTACCTGAATAATCTTCTATTAACTGGACACGTTGCTTACACTATTTGCGCTTATCTTCGGTAATTTTGTTGCGTTTGTAGCGTTTTTAGGTAACTTGTGGACACCTTTTCCTTATCGCGGATTCGTTGCTAACCATCTTACTTCATATGATATTTTAGCGAAGAGTTATGCCACCGTATCTGTATGCATTATTGGATTTATTTTATTTCATCTTGTCGTTTCAAGTGATTGGCTGTTGCTTGATATCCCCGGTGTGGCTGCGCTTGATATGCATGTTGACAAGCTGCCTACATGTCTGTTACCCACTACCTCGTCCATACTGGCTCTAGGAGACAGTTGGTCGTTGCTAGAGGAGACGGGGTGCACGGTCCTTGTGGCCGTGTTAGGATCAAAGAGTGGTTCCATGCACTCAGTGTGGAGCGGACTACGGTCCAGCCACCGCCTTATGTGTATTTGATTCTCCTAATACAGCGTGCTTGTGTTTGCCTGCGAAGGAGTGTGGGCCGGGTCCGTTGATGAAACGTGGCTCCCATCCACATACCTCCCGGTCTTATTCCTTCGGGTTTACACTGGATATGGGGTGTGTGGTTGGAGCTGTCGATGGTGCAGCGCAGGCCACCCATGGTCCCTCTGTAGGCGCAGGCGTCCTGTGGCTGGCCACAGTGACATGCAAATCAGAAACCGGATGCCGCCAACCATATATATATATATATATCTGTATATATATATATATATATATATATATATATATATATATGACGCCACGCTCTTACAAGTCCTGAGCAAAGAGTTATCACTGGATAGTAATAATCAAACGCTGCGGGGATTGGATTCCGGTGTTGTGTAAATTTAAGCGCATCAAATGTACGAACCTTAACAAATCTCACTAACAGCGCAATTCCGTACAAAGAATTGCAGTTCCTTCTAAACAGCTAACAAATATATTTTCAATATGATTCTTTCATAAACTACTGACGTCGTAATCAATAGCAATGAATGTGATTGGTGAATCAAGGAAGCTGATCAACGGAAAAGAGCTTCGCTAAGTTGTGTAGTAGAATGAAATATGAGAGGGTGCACTAATATGTGTCTTTCATGCCTGAGTACGCATAGCAATGTGCCATTGTTGTGAGGTCAATAATAGTACGGTGGTACTAGGTCCCATGTAACAGCCACAATCTGACTGACGTTAACGTTAAAAAGTATATGGCCATCGGCGACACGACATATAAACGTAAATGACATCACAGTGGCTCGTGTTCCATTCACTTTATCAAGTAACTTGGGTAAAGTAGGCGGGTCGGATGAACTGGCGTCACGGGCCGGATCCTTCACGCGGGCCGTAATTTGGTGACCCCTGGGCTGGCCGAACTGAACCTAGACGATTGTATCTTTTGTGCTCACTTCTTTTCTGATCGCTTACTTGTTTATATCTAGATCGGGTGTTCCAAGCGCCTATCCACCTCGGCTAATTAGTTCTTCCTAGACTTCCACCACTATGACTAGGGGAAACACGGTTCCCAACCTAACCCATTCGTTTTCTGGCGCTGAAACATTGTGGTATTACATGTACCGATGTGCGGTCGGTAACATACTAATAATCTTCGGCTAGGCAAATCTATCCATTTCCAAATCTGATTATATTACCATCCAGTTTAATGTTACACCTCAGCTACTCCAGAGTCAAAATTGAGTCATTAGTAGCTTTGCTGAGCGTACCTGGTTGATTTTGGCTTCGTGTTGTTGCAGGTTCCAGTTTAACTTCGCTATACTATGGGTTTGATTCCCAACTGCATCTGTTTACGGCTGAAGAGTCTGAACGAAAGGGAAGCACAGTGCTTGGAACCATTGAATATATGCATCTCAATAAAGCAGTTGTTATAGTACGTGAGACAAAATGAATTTGCTTAAGTCGAATTGCGGTCCGAAGTAAGGTTATTAGTCCTAAATCATGCACTTGTTGATTCTACCTACCAATGACGTGGCATTCCATTTGTTTGAATTATTTAGTTCAGGTGTTACGTCCCAAAATGGATCATGGACTGATAAGGTTATTTATATGTGGTACTTGGATATTCTTAAGCATCTGGCTTTAAATGTGTGGCTGAATCTTTCCAAAACTATCAGTGGGGAATGCTGTAATATGTACGAATTAGTTATTAGTCTGCACATGGCTTCGTTGTCCTGTTACTCTTCTGTTTTCCCTTTCTAGTCTCCAAGGCAAAGGACGCTAAGCGAGCAATCCTATTGTCCTAGCGCTACACATATGACCAGATGAAGTCTGTTAAAAGCGAATTCCGGTCATCCAATGTAAAAAACTTTAACAAGGTGGTGTCTGAGCAAGTGGATCCAGTCTACCGGGAGTATTTGATGCAGCTGAGAGACAGGAATCGCATACGTTTCCTGATACAGAGGCGGAGTCGTGAATCCATACGTCGAATCAGACTGGAGCAGGGTTTCAATTTATACCTCAATTTGCCACTTCCTAATGAGGTGACTGACCACCAAATTGGATGTGAAAAAGTCGCTCATTCAGCTCGTGGACCAAAACTTTCACACGTAAGTCTTTTTAGTGATTGTCCAGATGGCCGGACAAAGCGAACGACAAGTGCTCCAGTGAAAGGGAAGCGTCCACAGAGAAGAAAAGTGTGGGGTGAAATGTTTATGCCCTCTTCAAACGATGAATGCAAAGTACAGGAGCGCTCCTTTCATTCACCTGCTGTTTTTCCCACACCCATGGAGGTTGTGACTCCTCAGCTGAATAGTCTGTGTTTACAAGATGCACCTGTTATCTTTGACCAACCTAGACTTGATAGTAGTGAACTTATGTCTCTTCATAGAATCTCGTTTACGTTTGATGTTCTCAGTAATTTGGGCGATGAGAGGGAGGTCTGCGTGGAAGCTATACAATTGTCAATAGATGAACGGAGTATGATTCCACTTCAGGCCGACGGCATCCGATGTACTCTTTTGTGTAATTCCGAAGAGGAGGGACCGGAGCTGTATTGTCCTGGAGTTCAGAAAATTTTGACCACGCTAAGCAATACCACAGACGCAGCCAGTGTGTGGAGCACTAGTGTTCATAACATTCCTTTTCGATTACACGCTCATTTCGCTGTGTCCAAAAGACAAGGAAGTGCAATACAGAACGTTTTCTTAAGCATTGCTAACCCGTCTGTGCCCAGTAAGAAAAAAGCTGGTATTGGTTTATTTCGGGTGAATCTTACTCTCCCTTACTCATCCAAAGTCACTGTTTTTCACGGCGAAGCAAAGAAAGCCGATGATGGTGGGGTGATTATTTTCACAATACCAATTAACGGCTCTTCAAACATTCCGTTAAATGAGACGCCCGCAAAACAGCAGTCAGATATTTGCAACACGACAACCCATTCGGAAAACCTAGTCCAGCCAATAAGTGGAAAATCGAGATACACTGACCCTTTTTCCAGTTGGTTTGATGATATTCAATCAGGGCGTTGTGGCGTGGCACTGGACATAGAGAAACCAGATTTGATGCAACCGAGCCGTATGGAAATTATCAGGAAGAATATATTGACAACCGGACGGGCACTTCTTAACTCGTTACTGGAGGAATCTTGGAACTCATTGGAATTCTTTGACCATTTTCACGCTGGTCGCATTGCCTCAGGGCTAGATTATTTTCCCGCTGAGTCCTGCGAAAGATTCACTGTTAATAAAAGTGGTATTTGCGACAAAGCGGAAAAGGTGGAAGACACCCCTAGTGAGTCGAACGAATGTGTTTTGACACATACAAAGGACGGAGATATATCTGCGTTCTTATCGAAAATTCCGTATCCCGCCCGACCATTCAATCTGGACATCTGCATCCCGGAGTTGCCTGAAGGACGAACCCTAATCTTTGATATTGTGAACACGTGGGGTGATGCATACTATGTGGGTTTAACTGGAATCGAGGTGTTCACTTCTGATGGGACAAATATCACATCTTTTTGCCAAATTTCAGCTGAGCCTTCGGACATAAATATACTTCCGGAATATGGGCATGATCCGAGAGTTGTAGAGAACCTTATAGATGGCATTAATTGGACAAGAGACGACACACACATGTGGCTTGCTCCTTATACAGCTGGGGCCAGACATATAATAGAGCTAACACTTCCCGCCTGGTCCAGTCCCGTTGCTTTAGTCCGGATATGGAATTATAATAAATCCCGAGTACACACTTCCCGAGGTGCACGTGATGTGATCATCTATCTTGATGTTAATCCCATATTCATGGGGGAGATCCGTAAAGCATCTGGACTTGAGTCTGGTGAATTGGAGGATTTTAGTGAGACCATACTTTTTACCACTGACGATGCGATTCTGGAAAAAGTGGCTCAAAATGACTCAGCGATTCAATGCCAAGGAGCCCAAATGGTGGAAATTTCTTTAGAGGAACCAACAACATGCCCTTTGCTTGAGGATAAAGAAAAAACTGTGCACAATTTTGACAATTCTGTCACCAGTGACATACGTATAAACAAGGCGTTAAAACGGTTATCACTGTCATGCAATGAGAAGGTCGACTATATTGAAATTACTCTTCTCGATACATGGATAAAGGGAGCTCAAAGAATAGGCCTAACTGGACTGGAAATTTTAGACAAAAACCAAGAGCCGATCCCAATCCAAGAAATAAGACTATGCAAGGCGGACGAACTAGATCCGCTACCGTTGAACAGACTTTTCGGTCCTCAAATGGAAACGGATAAGACAGAGGAGATGTGGTCCTGTACGTTTACACCTGACTCTCCGCCAAAACTCTGCGTGAAGCTCCCTCCTAAAAGTGATGCTCATAGTATCTGTCTCTGGAATTACAACGATCGACGGTTAGGAAAAGACTACGGGGTGAAGTTGATAAAACTTACAGACAACCTGGGGAACAACTTTTGTCACCGAAGCAAAGGTGGGGTTATGTTGGTGCGTAGGGCACCGGGGCACACAGAGTATCCTTTCGGCCAACTGCTGCATTTAAAAAAAGATTCATTTTTAACTCGTATTATAACAGCGCCATCTGTCAACTTATACAGCGATAATATACTGCCATACGGCTTTGTTTACCAAGTGAAAATATATTCCAGCTGGTACGACCCGCACTACGTCGGTCTGAATAGGCTTGAGCTTCTCTCCATCACAGGATCCTCAATCGCAAAGGAACAATTTTCTATATACGCATCGCCTGATCCCATGATTTCTGTTGATCATAACACTAAGATATGCAAAATCGTTCGAAAAGTGAACAATTCAGTGAGTGACGCAAACAGTGGATCAAACGTGGAAAACCATAGCTGGTTTATACCTTTGCTTCCCGACAAGCTACCGACTATCCATATCATATTCAACGAACCAGTCTTACTTGTTGGAATGCGGATTTGGAACTGTACTAGCATAGTAGGACGTGGAGTGCGCGACTTTGCAGTGCTTATTGACGAGCGGTCTGTATTCTGCGGTCGTCTCCCAATGGCGAGACCTAAAGTGTATCAGACAAGTGAGTGTCCTAGTTCCGATTCTACGACTTGTGGCGGAACTCAGCAGACAGAAAACGGACTTCTTCAATGTTCTCTTGGCTACGTTCACGGTCACCCTATGCCCTATGTGGTGCCTTTTGACATTGATAGGATTAAACTTCTCGGGATAGATAACGGACTTATTCTACAAGCAACAAAACCAGCAGAATTGACCGATATTCTACCCGTAAGTGACTCAGCGGAACCTACAACATATGTTACAGATCAGGAGACTTTCTTGGAGAAGTCTGGTTTACATCTCTTTTGCAGTGCAGCTCATTCAGTCCGGTCAGAAAAACGAGTGTCGGAATGTATTAGCTGATGTCTTATAACCACATACGCAGATACTATTAAGAAACAGTTCAACTTCCCGAGTGATGATCTCATCTGGCTACATCGTTGCACAAATTATTTGTGATCATTATATTTATGCAAAATCCTTGTGTATATTTTTGTTCAGTGCATTTTCTTGTGTGATTTCAGTTTTACGGGCATAAGAGCAATGAGGTTTCCTTGTAATTAAACGTTCCAGATACCAAGATTAACACCGAACCTTTACGAAAACTGTTGCGTCACACTTTTCATGAGCTATTCGGGCTTTATATATTACAGTACTTTGTGCTTTTTCTCGCCCCCTTTCTGGTACGTTTGTAAGTTTTTGCATGTATGCATTCAGTAAGCTTTTATCTGACCTCGGAAATGCCAAAGAAAAGTAAATTATTTTATCTTGGCGCATTCGAACTTGCCACGTGCCAGCTAGGCTATCACGTGAAATAACCGCACTGCTTTTAATCTATCTTCTTGTGAAATGGACTGTGTTGTGTAGAGGGTGGACGTTAGTTTAACGGGGGATCCTTTAGGGTAGATAGTAGTTCAACGCCTCATTAGGGGAAGCTGAGTTATTGGCATTTCATTCTCACCTGAAGTGCTTAATGGGTAATGAAACCCTTCTAAACATTCGGTCTTTTTGACGAATTTGGATGGGTTTGGCTCTGCCTACTTGAAGCAGTTTTAACTTATATCTTTCTACCTGTAATTTGAATTTAGCGCTGTCTTTTACCCCCCCTCAAGAAGTCACCATTTTTATGGCAACTATGAAATGGCTCAATATCATCGGCATGCTACCGTTTGCTGAAGGTTTCATAAACCTCAGTTACCTAGCCAAAACATATTGAAGTAAAATATCCGCAAAAGAATATGCAAATAAAAGACAGGAAACAAGCAAGCTTACGTTGTTTTGCTATGACGCATCGAGAGTGCGGTAGGGGTAGGAGGGGAAGCTAAGCGGGATGGGAATGGACACAGTAACTCGCAACACAAAAGCCACTGCGGTAGGCACTTCGCCTTGTCAACAAGTGCCTCCAAACAAATGAGTTCATCGTCTTTAAGACAAAAGCTTCATAATCGGAAGGTACTAACTGACGCCAAGTTTGAAGTGAGGGCTCCCCATCCTCATCTTCCATCCAGACCCCGGTCACGCAAACAACACCCGTCGTGGGAATCGCTGTGCTGGTGTGCGTAACATATAGTCCAGCCATCGCAGCCTGGTGCGTGAAATAACGGTAATAAGTAGATAAGTTGTCTTGCTGCACCAAATCATTTTTTGCTTAGGCCGCACAAATACTTCCACCCACTAACGGTAATGCGAATGCGAACGAGCAGGAACAAAATCCAGGTTTCTTCTTATGGGGAAACAACATCGTTATATAGCATGATGCGCAATTGGAAGAAAGCCAAAAAAATGCTGAGTGTAAAAAGACAAAATATATACTAACCGAATATACTAAAGAACCATTCAGATGCATCAACAGAAAAGTAAGTGATAGCATGAGATCCAGAGCAAGACGGCAATTCGAAGGCATAAACAACTCTCACCATCCATTTCAGTTAAGAGTAGAACAACCTCATTGTGTGAGCCCAGCAGAAGGAAATTTGGAAGTTACAAACGTTTACATAAGCATGGATAGCCGGCATCCGTGACAGGATTTGTTTGTCACTGTGGCCTCCATAGGGCAGCCCCAGGACTCCTGTACCTACAGAAGGACAATGGGTGGTTTGCACTGCACCACTCACCGTTCCACTCACACACCACATATCCAGTGTAAGCCCGAAGGAATAAGATCGGAGGGCATGTGGATGGGAGCGACGTTTCACCAATGGAGCCGTCCCATATTCCTTCAACAAACAGCACAGAAGCATTCTTGTCTAGTTGCGAAACCATGTGTACCGGACGTACAGAAGGCGGTGGCTGGGCTGTAGCCCGTTCCACATAGGATGCACGGAACCACTCTTTGCACCTAGCACAGTTACGAAAACGGTGCACCCCGCCCCCGGGCAACGACCAAATGTCTCCTGGAGCCAGTATGGACGAGGTGGTGGGTAATAGGCAGGTAGGCACCTTGTCAACATTTACATCAGATGCAGCCACACCGGGTGCTCAATCAACGTCTACTTCAGAAATGCAGCTATACTGATCGCGCAGACAAAAGTACCACATACGCCGCCTTATTGGCCTGGATTAGGAAATCGAATGGTAGTGTAGCAATTTGCTTCTATCCTGCGTGCATTTTCCTGCACCTGGGCAACCGTCCTCTTGAGCAGTCCACGGAATTCGCACGATCAACTTTGCCTTGGATTCGCAACACCTGGAAGCAACATTATTTTGTTATTCACTCGCCTTCTTCACGTCCTATTAATGTTATTTGCTGCTTGCCCTAGTGCTGATTCCCTGCACTAAGTTGGCCGTACAAAAGCTGTAAGTGTATCTTCGTCGAATTCATTCGGTATACAAATATACATGGATTGCCGGCATCCATGTCCACTTGCAGCTCGAATTCAACATATGCACACGCTTTTGTCCAAACTTAATTATGAACAACCACAAAGTGGATAGAGACACATTAAACAACATTAATAATAGTACCATAAAAGTGCATGGCTATTGTTTGGTTTGGATTTAAGGCTAACGGCCATTTTCTCAAGATGATGGGGAATCACATGTACGGGAATTAGTACCCCATATGAACTGTCGGTGTATTCTTTAACATTTAAACCTGAAAAGAAATGACAGTCTTAAATCTAGAGCATCAAAATTTGAGCAAAATCGATACAGGAATAGGACGCGGGTTGTGACTGGCTCTTCGACATCAGGCAGCGTAGAATAGAGCTTCTAGGATACGCATTTCGCTGAAACATGCTAACTAGGTGGTCCTCCTCCGCCTTCCTCAGTTACGGTCTTATACAGTGTGTCTGGGCCTGTTTGAAAAGCGTCCTCACGCAAATTCGCTTGTATATGATCGGATGATTACTGCGATCGTTTAGGATCTGGTCGGTGTGGGTCAATTTCCGAGAAACTGTGGTTTCCAGTGACCCAGAAGCATGCCTTCTCACGAGCACGTCCAAAAGTGGCCACCGATCATTGTTCCCTCTCTTTTTGATAAAATGGATGCATCCATTTCACCACTCATGTGCAACACATGTTGGTCCACATCTGTAACAGAAAGAACGATTATCCTACCTTACATTCATGGGATTTCTGAAATGGCAACGCGGCTTCTAATGCCTCACGGGATAAACGTTAAACACGAAGCAACGGAAACCATTCGAAGAAAGCTTTTTAAGGCAAAGGACAAACTGTTTAGGAAGTAAACATTAGGTGTAGTTTACAAATTTTTCTGCAAGAACTGTGACAAGTACTAGGTAGGCCAGACTGGAAGAAAACTTGGCACAAGATTGCACGAACATAGTCTGGCCATCCGCCGCCGCGATGAGAAATCCTTAATGTCAGTACACATGGATGCCGAGGACCATCAGTTCGATCTGGAGAACGTTGAAATACTTGGAAGAGCAATAAACCGCAGAGCACGTGAGTTCCTCGAGGCCTGGCATTAGCCGGAACTCAATCAACAAACACTTGGAGCTTGAGGGTGTCTACGATGCTCTGCAGATTAAAGCAGCAATAGGCACCAGATCGACTAGGAGAAGACGTGCTCACGTGAACCGATCGAAGTCTGACATACGAAACAGGTAACAATCAATAGTCATTCGGACCTGGCATTGCTTTGGGCGACTCCGCAAATCTGAACTGAATAGCCGCACTGAAGATGTTGACTAGTTTGGTAACAAAACGTCTGCAACAGCAATGCCCGGCTGGGAGAACAGGACAATGTTCGCATTGTTTTGCAACTCCCAAGAACTAGTATGGACGTCATCCAATTTCTCAACCATTTGTACATACCGCTATGTACTCTGCTGTGACCAAACGCTACTTAGTAACGATCTGCCGCGTATGTTTTGAGTGCAGCTATTCGACTCTCCTAAACAATTGTCGCTACGCGCCAATTCCTTTTCGATGTAATATACTGTGACACTGAAGTACCATCATCATTGACTTTACCTTCTTCTTGGTCTACCCAGAAGATTGGTCATGTACAATTCAATTTCCGGTAGACACCTCTGAACTTCTGCCATTCAATTCGCATAGTAACTGTCTTTTCCCAAGCGCAGGTAAAATCAGTACGGCTGATGAGCAACGGGAAATATAGCTTACTCTCATCACTGACATGTGGAGCGAAACATAAACCGTCAACATCATGATATTCGCTACTCAGTTAATTGTCGGGATTGTTCACTTGCCACGGATTTTCCAGAGCGATTTCTCTTCAGATGCATTGTTCAATTAGGTAACACGAGGGAAAATCGTTCAGCATATTGTTCCAAAATCCAACATTTAAACTTTATGGATACAATAAGCGGCTAAACGCTGCCAATCCTTGTTTCACGCGTATTCAACGAAATGGAAACCTGCTCAACACTTGACACTCTGGCATAGATCCGTATCAACAATTCAACTCGCTCGAAGACCCGCGCACCCCAAATACGATTGAGTTCATGGATGGACTGAACCTTTATCCTGCAATGTACCGGCTCTCCAGGCGTCGTGCTAGTTAGTATTGGGCAGCTGGTCGAGCTAGGGTTAGGTAACTTACAAATCGATTTCAAGGAGCAGAATGTTGGTAGAAAAAGAGACAGTGGCACCCTCGCATAATCTGGTAAGCGGTACCATGGTGTTTACATAGGGTGAATTGCGGATGAAGAATAATGCGAAGAGGAAGATGCTGTAGCTCACCGTCTCGGTATGTCACCGTACTAGATGCACTCACAAAGGTAGAAAAAGGTATCATAGGTCACGATGAGTGCAACAGTGTAGTGGGCAACACGTGAAGTAATCTCGAAATACAACCTAGTAGAGTAAGCCCAATAAAGGTAAGTTGGATGTAGCTCTTCCTTCTCAGACAGGTGCAATTAAGCTACTGCATTGCACCAAGTCAACAGTTAATCGTTCTACAGTGAAACCGTACCCAAGCGCGATAGAATATGGGTGACATAAAAAGATGACGGAGATGGAGTAAGCAACTTTTCAAGTTAGCAGTGAAATGGTGAGCTTAAGTCAACTGGTTTCCATAAGATCAGCTAAGTGAAAGTCCGCGGTGAAAAAAACGAGAAGTATAGCTATGCTCACTTTAACGAGGCAGCCAAAGCCCAATGGAACTGTGATGTCTTATCTTTGGTGTGTGCTGAAGATGCCGTCTCCTATATTAACTGCAGGCTACCCTTGTCGGAACGTAATCCAGAGCCGGTTCGATCGTCTCATGTCCGAGGTAATCAAGAATTAGCAGGTATGTGGAAACCCACGCAGACATACCTTAATTATGTCGGCCCGTGGCCTAGTGGTCTGCGTGCGTCGTTTACAACCATAAGATCACCGGTTCGAATCAGCGTAGGGGTAGGCGTCCTCGCGGTATACTCAGCCCGTGCGCGACTCATGGTGGTCACGCGAAAGCGAAACGCCGTTACAGCTAAGACATTATTTATTTATTGATTATGCCTGAATTATTTTCCTTCCTGTTTAGCACTCCAAACTGGCAATCGGAATACACTAACCCACGCCAA